GCGTACTTCAAGCGTGCATACCCTGAATTGGGACATAGCAGATGTCTCCACAGCACACAGCATAGCCATGAGCAGCTGTACCAGTGATAGCATATCCTGGAAGCTGCTTCTTCTTGCTTTTTTTTAATTTAAAACTTATCCGAAGATCTGGACAGGTTTGTCTCTTATAGACCAGATCAGACTATACTTAACAAAGCACAGAACATTTCCTGTCTTTGAGTCTCACAGCAAGGAATGAATCCCGGTGTTCTGCGGCGCTGCTGTGAAGTGGCAGGAAATGTTTGCAAGAACAGTAACTAAGGTAGTCTTCTGACCAACATCAGCTTTATGTGAACACCTGTCAGTGAATCTCCTTTTGGGCGTGAGACTTTTTACCTCCACATGGTGGCTACAGCGTGTGAGTGAACAGCAATCAAAGAGCTTCACCTTCACATTTTGTCAATCCAAGCCACAGAATGAGAATTGTGTCTAAAGGAAGAGGCAGAAGCACAGACCGACTCTCTCTGATGAGGCTTGTGGTGAAAGCACAACACCGGTAGGTAACAGCTGTATTCTGGAAGCAGGCTAACATCAGCATTGCTGGTAGAGGGGCGCGTGGACTACGTACCCAGGTAGCTTCCAAATTTGACGGCTTCAGTGTTGTCATTATCGAGGTAGGCTGAAATCTTCCCACTGGTGGTGTTATAGACCAGAACTGAACCAGTCCAGTAAGATGTCCCTGGTGCCCCCATGATGACCAGATCCTTAGAAAGAGAGAGCCTCTATATTATGATGTGATGACTTTATGTGATGACTTTAATTAGCTGAATATCTTAGATTAACTCTTACATATGTTGCTTTAAAATTGTACTTCTGATTTGATCATGTCACAGTTTTGCTCTTTTTTTAAAAAAAACTTGAATTTATACATTTTAATAGCCTGAGGAGCAGCAAGAGGAGAGCAGATGGCTTTTTAAAACATGGATGGACCGCGATCAGTCTGCAAGAGGAAACGGGGATGACATGATTTTAACAAAGCGTGTTGCTTATGTTACTGACCTCTGTCAGGAAGTTGGAAATACCCGCCTGACATGATCCATAATCCTCCCCAAACTTCCTTTGGTGGTCTGTAGGAGACACACAGGCATGTCAAAAGGTGAAGGTGAACAAACGAATAAATCCCTCTGCAGCTGAACAGCTGCTGGTTTCACATGCACACACATTCATATCACTACAGTCATGGTCA